CCTTATCCATCTTTTCTAGGAAATTCTTGAAAAACCTTATAAGCATAGATTTGAACTCTATATCCAGACGCTTTTTGTCCTCCATTTCTTTCGTTTGTGATCTATTTTGTTGTCGCATTTCGCAGTTACTGATGGGATGGGGTTTCAGGGTGGAGCCTGCAGCTTTGGCTTCCGTCAGCCCTGCCCTATGCGGGTCCGTCAGTGCTCGCTGCCGGCGCCTCTGAGAGAAACGGTGCCCTCGATTTTCGCCTGCTGCCAAACAGTCTATGCTCTCCCCCAATGAGCCCGGTATTGGGGTTCAGTTCAGTTGGAAGTGGAGTTGGAGGTGGCGTTCAGAGCAGTCTGAAGCCCCAGTCTCCTTCCCGTCAGGGCAATCCTGCGGCACAGCCGACCATCCCTTCTCTGTGCGCAGTGTGCGCACCGCGGGGACCTCCTTTCGCCACTTCCCCGGGGTTCCGCCTTACAGCCCGGCTCCCTATGGCTGAGCCTGAGTCCCCGGGGTCTGGCTTAAAACTGGGGATCAGAGCAGTCGGGGGCCCAGCACAGTCGGAGTTTTATCTCCTTTCCGCTAGGGAACGCCCGCCAGGCACTCGGCCTCCCTCCTTTCAGCCGGTGTTTTTTAGGGCAGTGCCTCCAGAGCTGGCTTTGAAGGTCTCCGGACATTTTATATGCCCTTTATGGCCCCTGGTATATCCAGCAGGAGAGAAATCCCAGTGTTCCAGGAAATCAGAGCAAACGTTTGTTTAGGGTTTCAGCGCAGGTTATTGGGAAGGAAATAACCCCTTTCCAAAGTCTCTTTGGTGTCCAGCTGCAAAGGCCTCCAGGCTCTTGAAGGCAGCACAGAGGACGGGGTCTGCCAGCGTCTGTCTGGCTAGCTGGCTGACTGCCCTGAGCATTAACTTGTGCCTGACTTCAGTCCACCTCCACAGGTAAATGGAGAGCTAGGTTTCCGAGTCTGTCCTTTAGCACAACCTCTGACCTCTGGCTGTGATGTCCAAGTATTTTTCCATTTAGGAAAAACCCCCAAATCATATCAATTCTATCTTGAATCCATCATCACCTGCATAGCACAGTTATAGGCTTATATTATGTGAAAACATAAAGTCAAACACACATACACTTGCAATTTTAGGTTACACCTTAATAATTGCAGATATTGAATGTTGTCTGTGCTTGTAAAAAAAACATATGGCATGTCATCTGGAGAATTCTCTTGGCTTTGGCTCTGGGGAGTTCTATAGTAATTCTCTTTTCACTCCATCAGTTAAGAAACTATTGAGCCCTAGCTGGTTTGGCTCCACGGATAGAGCGTCAGCCTGCAGACTAAGGGTCCCAGGTTGGATTCTGGTCAAGGGCACATGCCTAGGTTTCAGGCTTGATCTTCCATGAGGGGCATGCAGAAGGCAGCCAATCAATAATTCTTTCTCATCATTGATGTTTCTATCTCTCTCCCTCTCCCTTCTTCTCTGAAATATATATGCTATTGATTGACTGTTATTTCCAGGAACCTAGTTGGTGGGGCATAAGGGTCCTTTCAAGTTTCAACAGGTCTATAATATGTTCATTAGCTTAAAGTACTAGATACAATACATAGAAAAGACTAGATACAAAGTTTCTGTTGTCATTTGCTTAAAAGTTCCAAGTCTGCCAACACAGAAAAGCGATATAATTAGTTTTTCCCCAATCTATCTGCCTTGCAACCTGTAATTAAGAATGTTCTAATAAACCGGTTTGGCTCAGTGAGTAGAGCATCAGCCTGCGGACTGAAAGGTCCCGGGTTCGATTCCGGTCAAGGGCATGTATCTTGGTTGCGGGCACATCCCCAGTGGAGGGTGTGCAGGAGGCAACTGATCAATGTTTCTCTCTCATTGATGTTTCCCTCTCAATTCCTCTCTGTAAAAATCAGTAAAATATTTTTTTTTTTTTTAAAGTTCTGATTAAGGAAGCTGAAGTTTTTCTCTGGGAAAACTCTTTTTTTGGTAAAGGACCAAATAGTACATATTTTAGGCTTGCAGGTCACAAAGCAGCAATTACCTTACTACTCTGCTGTTGCAGACGGCAAGCACTCGCAGACAACAGGTAAATAAATATGGTTGCTCTGGTCTAACAAAACCTTATTTGTGGACACTGAAATTTAAATTTCATAAGAAATTTTCATGTTACAAAATATTGTCTTTTTTGCAATCACTTAAAAATATAATTTGCTTCACAAAAATAAATGAGCGTACTTTGGCCCACAAGCCATAGCCTTGCTCTGAGGTAAGTCAGTCCTTGCTTCTCAATTGCCCAAAGCAAAACATAATCTGTTTTGAAGCAAGCACACCAAACCGAGTTACTAAAATGGCGCTGCTGCAGTTTCAGAGCTGCTGTGGCTCAAAGGAGTCTGGCATCCCTAGCTCTCATAACTAAATAGCAATTGCTAATGACTAAAATTGCCCCCCAAGTGGAAGAGGATTCTTTTATCCATAGAATCCTCCATTTTAAATCTTAATAAAAGTAGCCATAAGGAAAAACGATCTAAGTATGGTCCAATCAAATCCATAACCCTGCTTTCCTGCAATCCAAAATAATCAGAGGTGACTGGCTATGGACCCACACACACAAATGAACACTGGAAGACCTGATGTAAAACTATTAATTTGAAGAGGGTAAAAAACACTAGAGTTAAATTACTTCACAAGCAACACAGTTTATAAAGTAAATCCAAGATCCCGGAATATGGGGTGTTGGGGGACAGGAGTAAGTTTACAGTTGTTTATGTGGTTTCTATACCTACATTTCTTGTGCTCATTTTAACCTTTTTCATGGACATTTTCATAATGTAGCTGTATAATTTCAAATTAATGTCAAGACTGATTATTCTAAGGAAAAGAGCTTAGCTCCCCCTAAATATACAGAAGGCACGAAATCAAGTCTTCACCTTGGAGAAATTAGCTGCCAAACTGTTAGTAAAACTGATTAAAACAAACACACACATGCACACTCATACACACACCAAAACACACGTGAGCATCTGTGAAGCATAATGAAGTAAATGAAGTATCTGAAACCAATATTCGTTTTTCTTAGACGCTGACTCATTAGACAGCATGGGGGGACCTGGGGAATAGTAAGCTGAGGGAAATAAGCCAGAGAAAGACAAATACCACATGATCTATCTCACCTACATGTGGAATCTAATGAACAAAATAAACTGACAGACAAAATAGGTGCAGAGACATGGATACCTGGAACAGACTGACAGGTCTCAGAGGGGAGAGGGGTGGAAGTGGGGACAGAAAGAAATTAACCAAAAAACTTGTATGTATAGCCCGTGGACACAAATAATGCAGTGGAGGACTGGGGTGGGGCCAGGGCCGGGTAGAGGGGGGCAAAAGGGAAAAAATGGGGAACATTTATAATACTGTCAACAATAAAAATTTTAAAAACTTTTTAAAAGTACACCACTAAAAAAGGCTCTATTCTGAGGCTGTATCTTTGGCTACAATTGTACCCAGATTCCATAAAAATCAAAGAACTGAAACAGTTTTTTGTTTTTTAAAATCCCTCCAATTTTATGAACATTGAAGGCATCAAGCAAGCTGCAGGAGAGGTCGCAGACCAACTGTGAGAGCAAACACCTGCAGCTGAGAGACTCACTCACCCTAAGCACGGCATCGGAAATATCGATAGCTGCCTGTGGACCCTCTCCAGAGCAGCATTTCCACCAGCTGCTGAAACGGCTTTTCTAACTCATCATTTACACCACTATCTGTATTCCAGATGGAGATGTGACATTTTGGTAAGTTTACATAATCACTACAGTGCACCAGAGTTATCTAAAAATGACTAGCTATGTGAGTAATTAATTCACACCAGAGAATGTGGCTTTACAACTTAAGGTCACCTACTAGCTTCATGTTCACTCCTAACAATATCATAGGAGTTATTACCTAACAAATTGCAATCTCTGTGAGATTACCCCCCCCCCAAAAAAAGTATGAAAATATATTTCTTTTAAAAGTAGAAAAAGGACCACTATAACTATTTGCTAATTAAGAATTAAATGCTATTTTTCTAAATGAATTGTTTTACCTCCTTAGATAATTCTTTACTTTCATTAAAATGCATGAAATCGACCTGAGTGTAAACTCGCTGAACTCCCGGCACAATAAGAAAACAATAGAAGAAAATGAGAAATCTATGAAAATGATGTGACATAAAATGGGGAATAATAGTTTCTGCTTTCCGGAATGGCAAACTGTACTATAAATGCTAGCCATCCAGGCCAACAATCTGGCAGAGTTCAAAAGCCCGTTTTCAATGAATGCAAACTGTGAATGGCATTTCGGTCACATTGGGAATATCTCACCCTGAACTCTCCGCTGACCTGCACAGACTTCGGGAAGTGGCACAAAACGAAGCTAATGAAGAGGACCGGCCGGCCCCACTGCATCCACAACTCTCAGAATTCACTGGGGCCCGGTCCGGTTTAACACCCGCCAGAACGAGCTGGCACCCTCCGTCCTCCCATCTTGCCGGACACGCGCCAACATCAAAGTTCGGAGGACACGTCGCTGGGTGGAGGAGAGGACGGGGGGTGAGGGGGGAGCGAGGCCGGTCAGACCCATTTTTAAGTGCTCCAGGCAAATGTCACCGGATAAGCCCATCCCGGAGGGCTGAGCGGCTGGCGACACACGGTTACACTCTTTCCGGCCCTTTGTATGCGCTGAGCTTCAGCCAGACAAAAAGAGGGGCCGAGGCGGCAGCGCGTCACGGCTCGGCCCGGTCCCACCTCGGGCCCGGCCGCGCGGGAACAATGCGGGTCCGGGAGGCCGGGGCGCCCACGCCCGGGCCCGCGGCGGGGACACCGGAGGCCTCCGCAGCCGGGCCGGCAACAAAGGCGTCCGGGGCCGCGGCCGAGGGCCGGGCGGGGAAACTTTCGGAGGCCCAACCGCCGCCCCGTACAATGGCCGCGAGCGCGCGAGGGCCGGCCGCCACGCCCCCGCCCCGCCGCGTACCTGGTGGTTCTCCTTCCCGCCGCCCGCAGGCGCCGCCGGCCCGCCCGGGCCGCTCGTCATGTTCCCGTACAGCGAGCGGGAGAGCGGGCTCCGCAGCGTCCACATCCTCCGCGCCAGCCACACGGCCGCCAGGCTCAGGAGCAGCCAGCCCGCCAGCAGTCTCATCGGGGGCCGCGCTCGCTCCGATCACCGCCGGCGCCGCGGCGAGGAGCAGGACGCGCCGCCGCCTCCGGCCGCCGCCGCCGCCCGGGCTCGAGCCATCGAGCCCAACTCGCCCATCCAGCCCCTGCAGGGCCGAGGCGGGTGGGAGGGGCGGGCCGCGCGCAGCCTTCCCGCCGGCCCTGCCTTCCCGCCCGCGGAACGCCACTGCGCCGGCACGCGTTTCCAGTCGGAGCACGAACCAGCGGGCGCGCTCCTTCCGCCCAATCAGCGGGCCGGGCGGCCGGGAGGCGGGACCGGGAGCGCGCAGGCGCCTGGAGCGCGCCCTCACGCATGTGGGCCTGTGCTCCTCGGAATGGCGGAGGTGGTTTTAATTTCTCAGGGTAGGTGCGATCCCTTCCGAAGGCGGTAGCTGGAGCCTCCAGGCCTTTCCAAGGGGTGGCCGCAGGGTTCCTGGTCTTTTCTAGCTTTGGTGGTTGTCTTTGGGCCACTCGGCGCACCCCGCGGCCAGAATTTTACCTGGCTGTGCAGATGGGCCGGGAACTAAGCTGGGAGTCTCACCTCCCTGGACGCTCAGACCAAGGCCTTGGCCACGGACACTGCCCGCAGGGGAGGGCAGTTTGGGGCAGCCAGGCCTGCAGGGGAGGGCAGTTGGGGGTTGACAGGCTGGCAGGGGTGGGATGGCAGTTAGTGGCTTCCTATTTGCATTCAGAACCCACCACGAGCTAGACCAACACCCGATGCGTCCACCCTTTGCCAGGGCTGCAAATCATCAGACAGGAATTTGGGGAGAAAGGATACCACCTCTTCTGGTCCCCCAAGCTGGGGTAGTTGCAACTGGTTTCCAAGAGGCACCAGTGAAAGTTCTGCCTTTGTTGGAAGCTGCTGCAGCTGAAGCAACCTGCAAGCCATGTTTCCGTGTATTGATGACAATTTACAATAGCTAAGATTTGGAAACAGTGTAAGTGCCCATCAGCAGATGAGTGAATTAGAAAACTGTGGTACATCTACACGATGGAATACTACGCTGCTGTAAAAAGGAAGGAACTCCTACCATTTGCAACAGCATGGATGGACCTGGAGAGCATTATGCTAAGCGAAATAAGCCCATCGAGAAAGAGAAGTTATCACATAATCTCACTCATTTGTGGAATATAATGAGCATAAACTGATGAACAAAAATAGAAACCAGAGGAAGAGAGAAACCAAGATGGCAACATAGGGTACACACCCGAATGTAGCCTACCACAACAAATTTGAATTTAGAACTGGAAAACAGGAGAGGCATTGCCCTGAAGCACCAGACGGCTAGCTGGGAAGGAGAGAGAAGGCGCGCTGACCCTCAGAAACTGTGAAGGTACGGAGAACTGCGTGTGAAAAGGCGCTGGCTTACTCCTGGTGCATGGAGAGGGCGGACAGCTAAAGCGCAGCTGGCTTTCTTGTTTGAGAGGAAAACAGAACCACTCTATTGCTCTGATAGACAGCCCCAGTCAGGGAGAGGCCAGACTGTCAGGCAGCAGGCAGAGATCTCTCAGAGGTATGTGAAGCCAGTGGCCATTACTGTGGGACTTGGGGAGGAGCCGGCGGGAAAACAAAGCTTGTCTGCACCAACCCGAGACTCCGCCCCATCTGTGGCTGAGCACAGAAGCTCTCCCAGAGGCTGGCTTTCTCTAAGGAGGGACTGGCCGGAATCCAAAGCTTGTCTGCACCTTCACCAAAGAGATGCTCGTTCCTGCAACCAATCTTGCGAGACTCACTGCAAACAGGACTTTTCTAAGGTGAGACTGTCAGGGAACCAAAGATTGTCTGCGCCACCCTGAGACTCTACCTCATCCAAGTGGAGTACAGAAGCCCTCCTAGCTGAGACACTGCTGATCCTCACAGCCAATTGGCTTGGAGACCAACACTTCTCAGTGATACCAACAATAAGCAAGGCTTAACAACAAGACTGCACACACAGCCCACAAAGGGCTATACCAAGACTGTCCACCGCAGGTAACTGGGAAGGCTGTGCTGCTGGGCTCTACCAGAACACCTAGCACACAAAGCCATTCCATCAAATCAGGGAAACAACTAAAATGCAGACAAGAGGCAGGACAGGAAGGAGATAGAGGAAAAGAAAAGAATGGACATTGAGTTCAAAACTACAGTTATAAGGTTTTTCAAGAATATCCTAAAAAAAAAAAAAAAGGCAGATAAAATAAATGAGATCTATGAGGATATGAAAAGGGATCAACTAGAAACAAAGAAAACATTGTCTGAAATAAAAAATATTACACAGAGACCTGAAAACAGACTGGAAGATCGCAAGAATCAAGACAAAGATTTAGAACACAAAGAGCCAGAGGACACTCCTCTGCAGAAGCAAGAAGATAAGAGAATCCAGAAAGATGAAGATAGTGTAAGAAACCTCTGGGACAATTTCAAGCAAACCAACATCAGAATTATGGGGATTCTAGAATAGGGGTGCCGAACTCAATCAGAGAAGGGGCCAAAATCTAAAATCCAGCCTAAATCGCGGGCCGAATGGTTTACTGAACAGTCATAAACTGACAATGTTAACCAGAAATGTGAATTTAAAATGAGTGGAACAATCTTTTCCTTAACAGTGCTGTTAACCAACTCACATGCTATCAAGCAAAACAGTAATATTGGTATCAAGCAAAACAGTAATATTGGAATGTACCTAAAATGCTCATTGTTTTGTTTTCTGGCTGGATGTCTGACACCGTTTTCCCCGGATCAATGAGTCAATGTTCGGTTTTATTTCTTGGGCTGTAGCAACCCGCAAAACAGCATGGAGGTTGTCATCGGTAATGCGTGATCTGTGCTTGTTTTTGTTCAGATTCATTATTGAAAACATCTGTTCACAAAGATAGGTGCTCCCGAACATGGGTAGAATACGGGCAGCATGAAGTCGGAGCTCTGGCATTGAGTCAGGGGGCAGTAGAGGGTAGAAGTCCTCAATTTCAACATCCTGAAACCTTGATTTCAGGCCACTGTCAGACTGAAGCTCGATTATCTCCATCTGAAGGTGATTGGGCACATTGTTGACATCAACTGTAAAAGGATTGGCAAAGATGTCAAAGCCTGAGTGCTGTGTTCTAAAGTCACAGAAGCGCCGCTCAAATTCACTTAGTAAACGGCTAACTTTGGTAGCCAGCCGACTGCAAGGAAAAGTACCAGAAATAGTGGTTGAGATACTCAAACAAACGGGAAAGTGGGCAAGATTATCCTGTTCCAGTTGGGACTTCCATAGTTGAAGTTTACGCTGGAATGCTGTGATCATGTCAGACATCTTCGTGATGACTTGTTTGCGTCCCTGCAGCTTCAGATTCAGTTGGGCGAGATGCTCGCATATGTCACACATCATAGCAAAATCACATAGCCAGGCGGGATCCAACAGTTCAGGCAAGGGCTTTCCTTTACTTTCCATGAAAAGAGCAATTTGTTCTCTGAGCTCAAAAAATCTTTTGAGGACTGCGCTCTTGCTCAGCCATCTTACTTCTGTGTGGTATGGCACGTCTCCATGCTCTGCACCCACCTCCTGTAAAAACTGCTGGAACTGGCGATGATTCAGGCCATGTGCCCGTATAAAGTTAATAGTTTTAATGACTGTGGTCATTACGTCATTCATGTCCAGAACATTTCCACACATAGCCTCTTGGTGGATAATGCAATGATAAGTAATCAAGGGTGTGTGGCAGTGACTTTTTTGCATTCTTTCCTTCATTAGTCCAACCAAGCCTTTCTTTTCTCCGCACATTGAAGGTGCGCCATCGGTAGTTAGCCCCACCAACTTTTCCCAGGGTAATTTAAAATTATTTATAGATTTCTCCACAGCCTCAAATATATCTCTACCAGTCGTCGTCCCATGCATGGCAGCTACATCCAAAAGTTCCTCAGTGACAGAGAGGTCGGTCTTCGTAGCACGTATAAAGATGGACAGCTGCGCTGTATCAGTGTTGTCTGTGCTTTCATCGATAGCAAGTGAAAAAGCGAGATAACTGCATGCCTGTTCGGCCAGCTGTGATGATAGATTTCCTGAGAGTTCTTGAACTCTATCTGCGATGGTGTTTCTTGACAAACTGACATTTTGAAAACTCTGTATCTGGTCTGGGCATACTTGCTCACACACTTTTAGCATGCATTGCTTCAAAAAGGCACCCTCTGAAAAACACCTTGAAGTACGGGCAATTTCTTCAGCCACTATAAAGCTTGCTTTCACTGCAGCATCATTTTTCGCTGTAGCCTTTGTAAACATTTGCTGCTGTGATTGTAGTTTGCCTTTTAGTTCTTTAACAATTTTATGCCTTTCTTCCAAAGTATATTTGCCATACTTAACATTATGTTTGGTGTCAAAATGACGACGTATATTGTACTCTTTCATCACCGACACTGTCTCATAACACAATATACACACTGGTTTGCCCTCTCTAAGCACAAACATGTATTCATTTTCCCATTTGTCATTAAATAGTCTGCCTTCACCGTCAACTTTTCTTTTCCTGGACATTTTGGGATCAATATTGACAGTAAAAGATGTAGTTTATTGGAAATCTGCGTTGGAAGGAAAAAGTTGAAAACTGCACAGGGATAGCTTGATTTGGCAGATGGAGAGGAGAAAAAAAAAGTCAGTCAATAAATGCCTGGCTGGGTATAGATAGCAGATTCTGTTGCGATTTTTATGCCTGCACTTTATGCCAGGAACTGGCAGCTTCTGCTGTGTATTTTTTATGCCCGCACACTCACTCTCTCCTGTGCTCTGCCACCCGCACAACCACATCGGATGCCGGACTATAGGTCACGCCTCCTGAATCTCGCGTGACTTGTTATCTATGCGTAATAGATAGCAAGAGATCACAAGCCTCCTATGTCACCGCGCGTCATTGTGATGGAACGCAGCGGAGTGCAGTGATGACAGCGCGGTGCGGGCCACATTGCAAGGCCTGGCGGGCCGGATTTGGCCCGCGGGCCTTGTGTTTGACATGTGTGTTCTAGAAGAAGAGAGAGAGCAAGATACCGAAAGAATACTGGAAGAAATAGTGACAGAAAACTTCCCCCACCTGGTGAAAGAAAGACTTACAAGTCCAGGAAGTGTGCAGAACCCCAAACAAAAGGAATCCAAAGAGGACCACACCAAGACACCTCATAATTAAAAT